TGCTGCAGCTACACTCTGAGAACTTGGCTCTGAGAAGCCAACAGACCAATCACAGCCCAGTGGTCCCAAACTGTGCTGCAGTTTGGAATTACCCAGGGATCTTGAAAACATTTGCTGATGCTTAGCTCCCATGCCCACACATTCTAGTTAACTGCTTTAGGGTGCAACCTGGGCATTGTTGTTTTTAAAAGCTCCCAGGTAACCCTCACACACAGCAAAGTTAGGAACCACTGATCTAGGTTCATGTCTCCAATACTCTGATCCTCATCACTGCCGTCCTTTTCAGCTGCTCATTATTGGGGCCACAAGTGGAATCTGTCATCAGTTGGCACTGTTCACAGCTCCTCTTCCCAACCTTCTCTTTCCCACCATCTCCCAACACCTGTTCTAGAACTTCTCCAATTTCTACTTATCTTCTCCTTTTTCATTCATTCTTCATTTCCTTCTCTACTCAACCAGACTCTGTGGCACAATAATGGCACCTGTCTCCTGCCCACAATGAGCCACGATTCCCTTGTTCTTTCTTTGATCATATCTACCAGGGAGAATGTGAGAAGTATCTAAAGCAAACTTCAGGCATGGTAATCCAGAGATGCTTCATGACACTTGGCCTTTATTACCATGAAAAATAACTGGTCAGTTTCTTCAATGATTTTTTAAGTTATAATATTTATGTACACTTAAAGAAAGTAGGAAACACCTCAGAAGAAAGCATAAAAAAGAAAATAGCAATCACCTTAATTTCATTTAATTCAGAACACACCTCTGTTACAATTTTGCTGGGATGTGTTCTTTTCTTCCATGCACATTCTTACCTAGTCAAGAACATGCTATATAGGTAAACTTATATCCTAACTTCCCACTTAACCATGTAACATAAATATATTTAATATTATTGAAACTTTGTAAATATTTTAATGACAGCAAAAAATTCCATCATTTGGATACCATATCATTTATTTAACTGATCCCATACCAGTGGAAATGGGGGAGGAGATTTTACTATTTTATAATTTTTATGGTGACACAATGTATGTATTTGTACAAACTTGGGTTCTGTCAATGATTTACCATAAATCCCAGGAAAGAAAAATCATGAATTAAACAGTCTGAAAAGTTTAGACTCATTACAATTGGCCAAAATCTTTCTAAAAGATCTTCTCCTGATTTATATCATCAGTTTAAGGAATGCAAATTGTTTCTCCTCTTGCCCAGCATTTGGTGTACTACTCCGTGCCACTGAGGATTTTTGGTATAAAATGACATGATCAAATTTGTATTTCTAAAATTGTATAGTGGAGGCTGAATCAAATGGGCTGAATCGGAACTTATATTATTGACCTTGGTGTTTCTCCTTTGCTTCCATAGTCTCCCTCCTCTGCTTTGCCATACCTTATCTTCTCTCTTTCCTGGAGAGTTTATATTAAGTGTTGTACACAAAACACTGAGCAAAGCTTTCTTACCAAAGAATAATAAGAACCATGTTGAAGGGCCTAGCTCCATGGTTGTCTAAGCTTGGCCTGGAGACCCTTTTCTCTAGCTCTGGCCAAAAAGAGTCTCTGGACAGTAATTCTCCTTAGGGAAAAAAAAATTTTAAATATATATTTTCTAATGAAATTGCCAAATAGGATTATTACTAAATTAATTTTTTCTCCAACCTGCACTTGTCCAGCCCCACACATGACCATTATTCCTATTCCTAGAATATCCTCCTTCTTTCCTCTTCTCAACCCAGCAAACTACCTTGGCATTCATCCTTCAACATCTTTTTTAAATATCTGTGACACCTACATTCTATACCTTGTCCAGTCGTAATCAGCCACTTGGGCTTCCTTGTTCCCACAATTCAATTATGGCATTTTTACACCTAATTCTATTTCTCTTTCTTGGCCAAGAATCCTTCAAAAGGAGAACATTTTGTATCACCAGTTCTTAACATAGTTTCTGGAACTTGGTTGATATTTTACAACTGTTGAATGAATGAGTGAGTGAATGAATTTCTGATACTAAGGTATATCTAAATTAAACACTAACAAGATGAGTAGTATAAAGACAATATGGAAAGGATGTAAATTGCCAAAATCATATTCAGAATTATTGGTGCCTATGGGAAAAAAGACACCTGGTATACCAGCTGTTTCAACCCTGGATTCTGGGTCCTAACACTAACTGTAGTGTGCCTAGACACTAACTCCATTCTGTTCCCTTTTTTTTTTTTTTTTTTTTTTTTTTTTTTTGTGGTACTGGGCATTGAAACCAGGAGGGCTTAATCACTGAGCAGCATGTTCACATCCACATTTTTTTGAAACAAAGCCTTCCTAAGTTGCTGAGGCTGGCTTTGAACTTGTGATCCTCCAACCTGAACCTCTAGAGTTGCTGGCATTAGAGGCGTGTGCCACCACACCTGGCCTTCTTTCTTTCTTTCTTGACATTAGGAATCCAACCCAGGGCCTCATACATGCTAGACAAGCACTCTACCACTGAACTACATCCATACCCACCCTGTTCTTTTCATTTTAACACCAGAGTTAACATGCACCTAAATATCACTGTGATAAAGAAAGTAAGAGGATTAGGTGATGCCAGAATTTCCAAAACTATATTGCAAACAAACAAAAAAATTACTACCATGAGCTATGTATAGGTAGCACATAAAAAGAAGGGTCTTGTTATTTAGTAAGTTTGGAAAACAAAGTTAAATGGGTTTAACTAACAATTTCTTTGTAAAAAGTTGAAAGTAGGATCAGCTAGGCAATAGAAAGAAGGATTAGAGCAATTGGATCTTGCTTCACCCAGCAGACCGGAGTCATTCTTGCCTCTTTATGCCAGGGAAGATTCTCAGAGCACAAATCCAAAGGCAGAGTTGGGGAAAATATAGCAAGATCCTAGCCCCTTCCCCTAAGTTCTCTCTTGGGTCACACATCTGTGTAAGCCTCTGCCCCCACCCACCCACTCCTGCTGATGAGCTCAGCCTTCATTACTTCTCCTCTTGAGCTAGGAAGCAAGGTAATGTGTGGGAAGTGAGAGCTACAAGGTAATGTGTGGGAAGTGATAACAACTTTAAAGCCATTCAACAGGAAAATTTGTTAAAAGACCAAGACATTGTAAAGCTGAAATGCTTGAGTCTATTAAGTCCCCTGCTTCTTAGAACATTTTGTTACCACGGAATGTTTCAAGGAGGGAAAACATTGAACTATCACAGCACTGTCAGATACCAAATGCTGGTACAAAGAGCAGCATTTTTAAGACATCTGTCTCTGCCACTAGAGAAACTTCTAAAAAGTTCTCCTTCTCTCCTACCCCAACATAACTCCCCCACCCTCCTCACCCCTAGAAGCACTCTATTCATTTCTTTCTTCCTCCTGCCTCCTCCCCTTCCTGCCTCATCCCCCTCCTCTCTCCCCCCACCTCATCCACTGCCCATGTTGTTTTCACAGACACTATTAGATTAGCACAGTAGGCTAAGACTATCCAATGGTTATTCTACCCTCTTTGGTAAGAAGGGAACTAATTAAGTGACTAGAGGTTTAGACATTCATTGTTTATTAGCTCCAAACTCCTTCAGAGAGCCTGGAGCATTCTCCTGAACAAACATTGCCCTTTTATGGCTTCTTGTCCCAAATCCAAATGAGATGGAGAGCTTAAGGAGACAGCATCTTTTCATGGAGGTGTGGTAAGGAGTAATTGGGAAGGCGAGTGGAGTGTCGATGGATATAGAGGAGAAAGCTAAGCGCCTGTCTCAGAAAGACTACTATAGTTTGTGTATCTGCTGGCAGCTGATGTCCATTAGTGATCATCAAGAGTTTAAACTGTGCAATGCTGACACATCTGTGGTCAGCCCCCTGCTTTGTTTAGCTGTCTTCATTAGAAATACATCCATCAAGACCATGTTTTTAAACAATAGTTAGTCTTCCAAACAAAAGAATAAAGACCAACCCAAATATCTCCTCTCCAATCTTAAACACTGTTCCACTTATCAGAAGGCACTTCAGAGGACAGAAACCATCCGTTCAATAAACAAAAGCCTCAAGGTAGACACAGTTTTCTGGTCTGTGAATATTAATAGCCGATGGGTGGTGAGTTACAACCTGTGAGAAAGGTACTTTTACCTGGGTAGGCAAAGGAATAGAAGCTTTTTAAAACCCTGCTTTTTAATTTTGTTTCTGTTTTAAATACATAAAAGTTGCATTGTAAAGTGAGTCAATATCAATATCCAACATCAGTCCTGTCATCGCTTTCGCAAGGGAAATTAGGAAGCAAAATCCAAGCCTCAGGAACTGTGACAAAATGGACCACTTCCAGATTCTGAATCAGAAGCAACTGCCACCACCACAGGAGGCCACTGATCCTGGGTGGCTCTGAGCCTGAGACTTGGGTTTTCTACCCCTCCTTTTCACTCTGGGTCCACAGTAATCTGGTATAGGTGAAATATTCTTTTCCTTGGCTTGGATTAGGTACCTGGTGTCCTCAAAGAGGTCACTGATTTTCCTAAGGATGTCCAAGAAGGTTTGGCTCACGGGTGGCTTACCACAGGCCAAATTTGAGGTTAATTAACCATCACCCCTTGTCAAGAAGGCCAAGATGTTGTTCAGACATTAAGAAAAGAGTAGATAATGGCCTTGACCAACATTTCTTCTCTCCTGGTCCCAAGTCAATGCGCCTTTTTCTGCTGGGGGTGGCGTTGAAGATTATCTCAGAAATACCTGGTTCATCCTCTATGTCACTCATCATTTGAAGAGGCCTCATGATACACCAACCTATTCACTGGATGCAAATACATGTTCTGTATCCAAACCTCTTTACACTAGAACTGGGCTTTTGCTTATGAAAGGGTACATTTATTGACCTTTGGAGAAAGTGGAGCAAGTATAAGAAAGCCACTTGGTGGAGATGAAGGGATGCTGACAGATCTGGGTTGGCCATCTAGGGACCTTCTGGCTTGAGCCAGTCTGAGAAACAAACAGATGCATATGTCCTGCTTTTGCTATCTCACCCTGCAGACCTCAGTGACCAGCTCCTTGAAGTGGTGGGGCTTGAGGGAGCCATGGAGATGGGGCAGATCTACACCGGCCTGAAGAGTGCGGGCAGGAGGTTGGCCCAGTGTTCCTCTGTCACCATCAGGTACGCTCCTTGTCACCCTACGGCCTCCAAGTCTCCTCATCTTTCTAAACATTCTTGCAGATAATAATGAGGAAGCTATTTCTGGATTTCAGAGCAGGGAAAGTGGAGGACAGAAGCTTGGTTCTGTTTGTAAAGAATATCTTTGTAGACCATTCTCCATACAGGATAGGAGGCTACCATCCAAGACAGCACCTAGAGGGTTCACCACAAAACCAGTTGGCTGTTTTCTTAAAATGTCCTGGTGAAATTCTCTAAACAGGAGTACAAGATTATGAAGTCCAAAGAACCAGAGGTCCAATTCTTTACCTTTTTTATCTTTACAAATTAAAATGTTAGATTTATGCCAGGAGGCACACTGATAAAAACCAGGTGCCCTGCTCTGTTCTGCTGTGTTGGTTAGTGGCCTTGGAAATGCTATTTCCTCTACACCTCTGCACGCGAAGCCATCGCCATCAGCAAACTGGTCATAATTGACTAAGAAGATAACAGCTTTTCAGGGTATGGGCCACTCAGCCTGCCACTGCAGGGTCTGGAAGATATGGGGTCTACTAGAAGGGATCCTCTGATTTCAGTTACCTCTGTTTGATCAAAGCAACTAGTCACATTTTTTCCTGATATTTCTTCCCCATCTGATTATTTCAGAAGTCTTTGTTTCTTTCCTTTTTTCACTCACTTGTTACAATCAGATCTATTAGTATTGCCCAGGCATGTCCTAGAGGGGTCATAGCATGCAGGGTTTCCCAAAGGTCTTTGATTTTTTTTCTCCCAGAACCCCTTGGGCGAGTGTCATCAGAGCACATTTGGGGGAACTCTGATGGTGGCCCTACCTTGAATCTCTCAGCTGCTTCCCTGATTTTCTTAGCTGAGGGTCTGTTCCATTTTCCCCTTTTCTTTTTTATTTATATTTATTTTTTTAGGTGTAGATGGACACAACACAATGCCTTTATTTTTATGTGGTACTGAGGATCGAACCCGGATCCCGCCCATGCTAGGCGAGCACTCTACCACTGAGCCACAACCCCGCCCCACACTTTCCCCTTTTCTTCATGCTTATCTTTGTCTTCCCTTTCTGTTACCCCAGAGATTTACCCCTCTTTTGAGCTGTTGTCCTATTGGGAACCCTGTTTTCCAGACTAATCTCTCTAGCCCTGTCCACTCTCCGGGTCTCTAATACTGAGTGGGTCCAGTCTGTCAACTCATCGAGGTCATGACTTATGTAGACCACTGAGAATACTTGATCCCTGGAGAATAAAAAAGTGTGAAGGTTTTCTTCATATTTAGTAGATCTATTTCCAGATAGAAACAGAGAGGGCAAGACAGGAGTCCCCATCCTCCTATGCATTTCCCAGCTCCCCTCTTAAACCCTAAGTGCCAAAATGCCACTCTTTCCTCAGATTATTTTGGGGAGGAGTGGCAAACAGGGGTACCAGGGATGGAACTCGGGGCACTTGACCACTGAGTAACATCCCCAGCCCTATTTTATACCTTATTTAGAGACAGGGTCTCACTGAGTTGCTTAATGCTTCACTTTTGCTGAGGCTGGCTTTGAATTCACAATCTTCCTGTCTCAGCCTCTTGAACCACTGGGGTTACAGGCTGACTATTTGTTTTTACTATTATATTTATTGTTTTTATTATTAAATATCCTCAAGGCCACTCAGAGAGTCATTACACCAAAATGCCTTTGCCCCTCTCATTTCCTAATTTCAAAAACAAGACAGATGCCAAATCCAGGTGAGGGCTTCCTAGAGAGTGGGGGTTATCTGATCTCATCACCCCAACCAATGGCCTCCAAAGGGCCACCTTTCCTCCCAAAGGTAATGGAGTTTGAGTTCAGAGCCTTACAGGATAAGTGAGAGGATCTCATATCTGTCTTTCAAGAATCACCAGGCACGGTGGTGCCTCTAATCCCAGCAGCTCAGGAGGCTGAGACAGGAGGATCTCAAGTTCAAAGCCAGCCTCAGCAAAGCAACTCAGTGAGACCCTGTCTCTAAATAAAATACAAAATAGGGCTGGGGATATGGCTCAGTGACTGAGGGTCCCTGAGTTAAATCCCTGGAACCCACCCCCACAAAATAAAAAAAAAATCTATATACCAAAAAAGCCTTGTGCTAAGCAAGAAAGCAACACTCCCCCTAACCCCCACCCCCACCTACCTCTATCCTCTCTCTACTTCTATCCTTGGGAACTGTATTCCTGGATGCCTTTGTTCCAGTTAAGCCAGATCCACATTCCATGGCAACCCCAGGTCATACTGTTGTTCAGGATCAAATACAAGGCAGTACACACTCAGGCCTGAGCTGTGTCCTGTGCAGCTTGGAGACGTTACCTCATGGACATTATGCAACCACTCACTCAGCATAGAAACCAGGCCTTTCCATTTCCAGAGCCGGGTTTTTTGGCATGCAGTGCTGGCCCTCTGGTTAACTGCTGGACTTAGGAGGGTCTACTACCTAGCATTGGTTCTGCTCTGTTTCTGGCCACTGTTTCCCAGACTTCTGTGGCTTTTATTGCTCATGCATGTCAGTGTTTCTCAAAGTGGGTTCCTATGACCAAGGCAACACAATCACCCACTAGTGCTTCTAAAAGTGAGGACCTCCTCACCTGGCCCCAGACCTGCCAAAAAAATCCCTGAGTGGAGCTCAGGGTTCCATTTTAACAAGTTGCTTCAGAGAGTCTTAGAAAACCACTGATAGGTGGACCAATAAAGGTCTTCCCACTTCTTTTTCCCCTATGGGAACCACACTGATTCTCCAGCTCTGAGAAGCTCACTGTGTTATCTTGGTTTTCGGGATTCTAGGACTAACAAGCTGCTGCCCATGCAAGTGGATGGAGAGCCCTGGATGCAGCCATGTTGCACGGTGAGTTTTGCCAGTCTTGGAGACAGGGGTGTGAGCTTGATTTTTTGACCCCCATTTGGGCAATGACTTGATATGAAATCACTGCATCTCAGAGATGAGGGGAATTTGAAAGACCTAGTGTAGCCCTTTTCCACTTTATTCACCCATCCACTCATCACCTGCCAAACATTTACTGAATGCCTGCTGTGCGCCAGGCACTGTGAGGCACCAGATACAAAACAGAACAAGATGCAGACCCATCTCCAAGAAGGTTACAGATCTACATGACAAATCTTGAGGCTTCACCCATGGTACCTTGACAGCCTCAGCTTGAACTGTCCCAGTGGCAGGGAACTTACCTGGGGATTGTCCTGCTGGCAGGCAAGTCTGAATGTTAGAAAGACTCTTAGGTAGAAGCCCAATCTGCACTCTTGCCCTGGGACTTTCCCTCAGTCTCTGTGACCAGTGGGGAGAATCCTCACAGTGACAGTGCACAGGTGTGCTTCCCCACAGGTGCACCTACCATCTGAGGACCTTCCTGGAAACTCCACCAAAAGGTTACCTGCAAGTTACCTACTTTGTTTATGGCATGGTCACCTAACTCCTAGCAGAGTGCCTGATATGTAATAGCTGCACAATAATGCATTGAATGATCAATAAAGGGCACCACAAATGAACAGAGGGAGCAGCCCCCTTCCCTGGCTGTACACCCCCCCCCCCAGCTCTCCATGCAGCACTTCTGCATGAGCCAGGCCTCCTTCCTTCTTGGTTCATTCTCCACTGGAGACTGTTGGAAATTCCATGGGGGAAGAGAAACCATTATCCCGGTCTTCAGGGCCTCTGTAGGGCTATTATTAACCTCAGTATGATCACAAATATGCAACTCTCACGAAAGACAAAACATGTGTTTCTAAGCTTCCTCAGATACCTTGGTAACCCCTTTTGAGCCCTTCAGAACATTGGGTTGTCGTCTTCTTTTAGAGAGAGGGTTTTCATGAGCCAACTGAGAAGAAATAGCATCTCCTGGAAAGGTTTAAAATAGAAATTTCTACAAAAATAGAACGTTCTTTGCACAATCTTGCCTCAGTCTTATGAAGACTAACAAAAAAGATCAAAACACATAGCAAAAACTAATAATAGCAATAATAGCATCCCACCTTGCTGGAATGGAAAGGATAGAGGGAATTTTACTATTTATCATTATGATGGAGTTGAGTTTTTTGTTGTTGTTGTCTTGTTTTTTTTTTTTTTTTTTTTTTTTTTGGTGGTGCTGGGGATTGAACCCAGGGCCTTGTGCATGCGAAGCAAGCACTCTACCAACTGAACTATATCCCTAGCCCTGGAGTTAAGTTTAAAACAGTTTATTCAAGCTTTTCCTGATTCCTCATGAAGAAAAAAGAAGGAAAGAAAAACAAAGAAGAAATCAAACCCTCTCCCACTTGGTTCAACGATATCTGAAAACTGAGTTGTCATTCCTCTGAATCCAAGCACTGTTTTTTTGTTTTTGTTTTGTTTTTTAATGGCCAAACACGTCTCCCATCCCCATCCCAATCCCCGCGCTCCCTCCATGCCACTCTTAACCCTTGAGCAAGCACAGCTCACTGTGAAAACAATCGTGACTCTGTGATGGTATGGTGTGAAGTCCAGAAATCCATGTGGGAAAACATGTTAGTCTGCTCCAGTGGCCCCAGCAGAATACCATGAACAGGTGCGTTAAATGACAGAAATGTATTTTCTCACAGTTGTGGAGTTTGGAAAGCCAAGGTTAAGTTACAGGCAGGTAACTTTCTGACTTGCAGACTCCCTGACTTGCAGACTCCCTGACTTGCAGCAGCTGCCTGTATCTTGATACAACCTTTCCTCTGTGCGTACTCTGTCATCTCTTCCTCTTCTCATAAGGACACCAGTTTTATTGGATTGGGGCCCCATCCTTGTGACCTCATTTAACACTAGTTACCTGCTTAAAGGCCTTGTGTACAAATATAGTTACACTGGGGGTGAGAGCTTCAACATTGTAATTTGAGGGGGACACAGTTGAGTTCATAACAAAGTCATTCTGAAAATTGAAAGGTTCAAACAAATGCATCCCTTGTTGAAACGTTTTCTTGAAGGCACACACCAGCAAAGAAGTGATTCAAAATTAAAAGTTTAACATGAGAACATCACAGCACAAAAGAAATTTTGGCTCTTTGAAACAGGTTAAGTTGAAATTAAGTCTAAAAAACAAATATGGTCATGCTCATGAATGCAGATAGCAAAACTCATTCCTCAAAGAGAAGATGCATAATGTAAACATTAATAACCTGCGTCCCAAACCTAGGGTTATAGTAAATAAAAGTACATGGGTGACATTGTTAAAAGGACAGTAAAAATATGCTTAATTTCTCATTGTCTCTTTTTACTTTGATAATTATATAAATCAGAAAGAAAATTTAATAACTAGACATGCACTAATGAAACTAAAAACAGAACATATACCTTTCAAAGCTGAGAGAATTTAAAATATAAAAGCCTTATCAATATAGCAAAACATAGAAACGAGATAACAAACATTTAAATTTTTTTGAAGTAAGATGAAAGAGATTAAGATTAAATATATCAATATTGATTTTTTTAAAAAAGGTTAAGGTCCCCTATTAATAAACTAATATCTTTACTTTGGGTTGAAAATTAACATCCAAGTCAAATACCGTAGTACGCACCTGTAATCCCCATGATTCTGGAGGCCAAGGCAGGAAGATTGAAAGTTCTAGGCCAGCCTCAGCAACTTAGCAATTCCCTGTCTCAAAATAAAATACAAAAAGGGTAGGGGATGTAGCTCAGTGGTGAAGTGCTTGTCCAACATGTAAAAAGCTCTGGGTTCAACCCCCAGTACCACAATAAAATAAAATAAAATCCAAATGAATTTCCCTACAACAGATATACCTAAAACAAAAGGATACACACACACACACACACACACACACACACATCCTTTATCAAGTGTAGAGAAATTAAATATAAGAACTATTGATGTTTCCAACATGCCAAAAACACTAAATGGAATAACAAAAGACATTATTTATTTGATTAAAAAATACATTGAAAAAAAATTTGGGCAGGGTGCTGTAAGGCTATAATCACAGCTACTCAGGAAGCTGAGGTGAGAGAATCACTTGAGCCCAGAAGTTTGAGAACATCATGAGAAACATAATGAGAGCCTTTCTCAAAACAAAGAAACTCATTTACCAGATATAGTGGTCCTAAAATCTTAGATATTTAACCACACAATTAAAATATATGCTGCTAAGAAAAAAGATATAAGGAGAAATTGATAGCAATAAAGTTATTAAGAGAATTTAAAACATTTGTTTGTCTCTAAGTTAAAATAGCTAAAATAAGTAATACATAATTTGAATAACTCTGTAACCTATAATTTAAATGACATATTTTTTCAAGGATAGATAGACTATTTGCCAAATAGATCACAAACTAGTTTACCAGCATCCCACCCCCCCCTCGCCCCCAAAAAACTATGAAATCCAGGTTCAGAAATTATGAAGGTCATTTTCTTTAATCAAAAAGCAATAAAGCTGGAGATTACTAATAGAGGATTAAATGAATAAACAAAAATCCAGTCTTGCGGAAACTTAAAATTCTTCTAAAGAACAATTTTCGATCGGATTTCATTATTGACTATCAAAAAAATTATAAAAATAAGAAGGCTATTGTTCAAAACTTATAGAACATAGCCTAAACTATATTTGGTAAATTCAAAGCCTCATCTACTTTTATCATATAAAAAGAAAAAATATGATAAATAGTCCCCAAATTAGAATAACAATAATAAAACAAAATTAAGAAAAGCAGAAGAAAGAAAATGACAAAAATGGAAATTAAATAATTTTAAAAATAGGAAAACCAACCGGGTGCTGGAACACACACCTTGTAATCCCAGCAATTTGGGAGGCCAACACAGGAGGATCACAAGTTCAAAGCCAGCCTCAGCAACTAAGTGAGGTCCTAAGAAACTTAGCAAGACCCTATCTCTAAATAAAATATAAAAAGGGCTGGGGATATGGCTCAGTGGTTGAGTGCCCCTATGTTCAATCCCTGTTATGGGAAAAAAGAAAAGAAAGCCTAGAACTAACTCCTTAAACATGTCAAACGTTTGAAAATCTAATTTTTAAAAAAAGAAAAATCAGAGAGCAGTGATATTCAAATGTAAAAAATAAATAATCTAACTATATAAAATCTATATAAAATAAATAATCTAACTATATAAAATCTAACTATAAATGGGGCAATGGCTCTATTTTAAAATAATGTATATAATCATCCTTTTTTGGCACTAGGGATTGAACACGGGGTGCTCAACCACTGAGCCCTTTTTTATATTTTATTTAGAAACATGGTGTCACTAAGTTGTTTAGGGCCTCACTAAATTGCTGAGGCTGGCTTTGAACTTGTGATCCTCCTGCCTCAGCCTCCCAAGTCACTGACATTACAGGCATGCGCCACCAGCTAATCACCTTAATTCTAATGACTATGAACATCTTAGCAAAATGAAGGAAAATATTGGTAACCATTAAAAAAATGGGAAATGCTTTCAAAGAATTACATATAAAATGATCTCAAATGGCCATACTGCTGAACTCCATTAGGAAATATGTATATTTAGGTAAAGTATCCCAAAGTACATACAAAGACAGAAAGCTATCCATTCCATTGTATGAAATGGAGACAGATACAATCACCTAACAAAAATTATATTTAAAAACAGAAAACTACAGACAAATCTCAGGTATGAATGTGATATAAAAATGTTAGTACACATGTTGATAGATAGAATTGAACAATATTTTAAAAGAATCATTCGCCCCTCAGAGCATATTTTTTAATATATATTTTTAAGTTGTTGATGGACCTTTATTCCAATTATTTGTTTATATGCGGTGCTGAGAATCGAACCCAGAGCCTAACACATACCACTAATCAAGCTTCTGCAATTAGACATACCCCCAACCCCCCTCAAAGCATTT